ACTGCTAGTCGTAACAAGTGATGCAAGTGTGCATCCGTTAGTCTAGATCTGGTTGGAGATTTCAAATGTTTAATTCTGGAAAAAGTCTGTTCACAGACATAAGTGCTGCCAAAGATGGTTGCCATTTTGAGTGCATGGTTCCTGAGATGAGGATATGTCTCAGAGGGGAGAGATGCATTGAAATTATGAAGGCTGCTTGACATGAATGCGTCTTTCAGAGAGTCACAATTCTGCAGTTCAGCCAGTTCCATTTGGTAAATTGTATCCACATTTTCAATGTCAATAGAAAATGGATTACGGAAAAGCTGTATGTCCTGTTCATGGAGATGAAGCTCTTTAAATCCAAATTGGAACTCCTTTTGCATTTTTTCCAGTGAATCCACACATGTTTTGTTTGGGAATGCAACCAATGGTTTTTCCGCTAACAGATTTTGAGTTGTGGGGAGATGGCAGAAGTTTTCCTCCTTCACTTGTTTGATGAGGAGGCCTAATTTTACTTCAAATGCTTTGACATGTGATTGCATATCACAGATGAGCTTCCCCTTTCCTTGAAGTTGCACATTGAAACTGTTGAGTAGCTCTGTTACATCTGTCAGAAAGGCAATGTGCCATTTTTATTCTGCATCATTGAGCTCTGGTACTTCTTTGTTTTTTTAAAGCAGAAAAGCTGTAATCTGTGGAAGTAAGTCATAGAAACGTTTCAAAACTCTCCCTCGACTCAGCCAACGGACTTCTGTGTGATACAAAACATCTTCATAGTCAACATTTAGCTCAGACAGAAATTCCTGAAATTGTCTGTGGTTTAGTGCATGAGCTCTAATGAAGTTAACACAAGATACCACAATTTTCATAACAGAGTCCCACTTCAGTGATTTACTACACAGCGCTTGTTGGTGGATGAGGCAATGTATGGCTATTGGATGAGAATGGTTATGTTTGTCCATCTCTTGGTTAATGCTAGCAATTACTCCTTTCTTAGACCCCACCATGCTAGGAGCACCATCAGTTGTCACACTGGCTAGTTTAGCCCAGTTCAGCTCCAAACTATTCACAGTTTGGCAAACTTTTTCATAGATATCCTCTCTTCTTGGTTCTTTCGGTAAAGTCACGTAGAAGGGAAGTAATAAAATAATACAAATAAAACATAATAAAATAATTTGCATATCAAGAGGAATTTAGCATATTTATGGGAAATGCAGGAATGTGATTAGTACTACATATGCAGCACGGGCATATGTAGTACTAATCACATTCCTGCATTTCCCATAAATATGCTAAATTCCTCTTGATATGCAAATTATTTTGTCAAGGCGCTCTTTCCCCCGTTTCCAACCCAGCTTATATATGCTCCAAGCTCGTGTGCTGTTTCATTCAGACGCTGTCTCCCCGACAGACCTGGTTTTCACCTGAGGACGGCTGCTTGCGTTGTGGCCGAAACGTCGTGAGAATTATTTTATTATGTTTTATTATTTTATTATTTCCCTTCTATGTGACTTTACCGAAAAAACCAAGAAGATGAATCCCTGCAGTCACGAAAGCTTTAAATCGAAAGATATCCTCTCCTGTAGATGTTCCTTTGATGCTTTGCAGTGCAGCAAGCTCTTCTGTGACTTCGAAATAGTCATTCGTCCCACGAATAAAAATTAGAAGTTGTGCAGAATCACGAACATTATTGCTTTCGTCGAGTGCCGAGGAAAAATAGGAAAGTTTTTTTGTGGAGTTTTGCAAATGCTGATGCAAATTGTCTCCCATTTCTTCAATCCTCCGTGTAATTGTAGGTCCTAAAAGACTCACTGTACTAAATAAATCGGCCTTCTCTGGACACATCTCTTTGGCAACAGAAAGAAGGCATTCTTTAATAAATTCTCCCTCCAGGAATGGTCTGCCAGTGCACGCTATTAGCTTGGCAACTTGAAAACTTGCTCGCAGTGATGAAATATTTATCTGCTTCTGCTTCACAAAAGTATTTTACTGAGTTGTTAATGTATTTTTCAGTTTTAATATTTTATCTTTTCTCACTTCTCCGACCAAACAATCATATTTATCTTTATGTTGAGTTTCATAGTGTCGACGTAAATTGTATTCTTTGAACACAGACACTATATTCTGGCATATCAGACACACAGCTCTTTCCTTGTACTGCATGAAAAAGTAATCATAAGTCCACTGTTATTTGAATATCCTACACTCCGAGTCAATTTTTCTCTTTCTTGACATCATTGTTTCCTAGGGAGTCAAAATTGCTATTAGTAAAATACCAATATATATAGTGCTACAAAAACAATATACCAGCAATAACTTTGCCCACACAGAGACATCCAGACTGCACTGCCCATCAATGCAGTCTGATTGGGGGAACTCCGCCCCCTCTCTCTCTTCCACCAATGACCGTCCTTCTCATGTAGAAAAAAAGTAACAGACAGGCAGCGGCGGAAAAAACACCCGGCGGGCCGGATAAATATCCTCGGCGGGCCGCATGTGGCCCGCGGGCCGTAGTTTGAGGACCCCTGCTCTAAAGCGTCTCATTCGGCCCAATTTCTGGACAAAGAATCACTCGTCCTTTGCTTTTTGGTCATCATTAGGTAATGCTATGCCTTATGTATGCATTGCAGAGTTTGACATTTTCTGAGTAGAATGTGATATTCATAAGCATCTGCATTGGTTTTTACAAGCAACCGGTGCTTGTAAGTTACATTCTCGACTGTCATATTGCACGAGCACTTTGATTTGTTGCGTGTATTGAGTTATAAAACCTCCCCTCCACATTCTCCTTTCCACTTCTATTACCCTCCTGCCTCTTTATAGTAATAAAAAAATGTAAGGCTTCTAAGCTATTGCGAATTTAGATAATTGCAATTTTTTTTTAATCATACGATGCATGTCCTGCATACGTAACGTCGACATATTTTTTGTTTAAAGAAGCACATCACAATGAGGGCTGGTTTATCATGTAGAAATACACACCTACATGATGGTCGTTATTCGTAGCCCAAAGCACTATAGAGGCATGAGGCTATGTTGCTATGTGTGCGTCTTTATTTCCGGTTTGTCCCGTGACCGAGTGAATGGTTATTGCCACGGTGGTCAAGTGCCGTCATGCCTCCTACGCCAGGTGCACGGTTATTGCCGGGGAGATCTCCGCATCGCCAAATGGAATCCAATGATTTGGGAGACGTGGGTTGGTGAATCACTGACAGGCGTGAGACTTTGAAACCCACTGGGCTGTGAAGTGGCCTGTGGATGCGGGTTTGTAATTACGTCTGGACCCTTGAATGGTATACTCCTGGCAAAAAAAAACACAAACAATGTATCTAATTGCATTGGTTTCTCCCCCTGCATGCAAAACATTCCTTAAAGTGGAATTGACAAAATTTACAAATGCAGGACCCTCTTGAAAAAAGATTATTGAGACTATTTACGCCTTCCTGGATTAATGAATGGCATCATTGTAATATTATTTTGAAATAGCTTAATTTCAGCATCTTAATTTGGAATCCAACTTGTTAATGTGACTGAAAGGTTTCAGCACTTCACTATTCAAAGCTCACCTCTAGCCCCTCCCCGCCACACTTTGTGCCATCTCCTCCTGACACGTTGCTTTCACCACGATGTCACGGGATGAAGAAATTCCATACTCAACTCTGTAGCTAGCAGCGTATCACCATGTGGCAGACATGAACCCTGGTTTAATCGTGGATTTAAACATAGGAGATCAGCGGATCCTGGCTCAATGCATCAGACATGAGCTGCCCGGCAACCTTGTACCGTGGGACCTTCACATTGAACATAAACGCTACCTCCTGTGCTGTGGATTTCATCATATGTCCAAATGAAAGAATGTGTCCTCAGGGGTGTTGACAGAATGAAAGGTGGGGAGTCCAAAGCCGCCATGCATTATGGGTGGTGGCGGCAACCTTAAGAGGATTTTTTTTACATCGGAGAGATTGACTGCGATTGATTGATTGATTGGTATTTGAACAAGACAGCTAAATCATGGGATAAATTAAATGATTGAAGGACATTTTATTGCATCCGGAGGAAATGTGCTTATATGAAGTGCATTTTGGGGAAGTAGTTATTGATATTTGAGTTGAGACCAAACATTCATTTAATCAGTGATCCTGTAGCATCATTTCAGGACTAGGCCATGTTGTACTGGTGTTAAAGACAAATTACGTGCTACCAGTAAAGTCACGTATAAAGAGAAAATAATAAATTAAATACTAGCATACGACGTTTCGATTGCAACACAAATCTAAGTATACTAGATTTGTGTTTCTATTTCATTTATACCTAATGATGATTGCTTGTGTTGCAATCGAAACGTCGTATGCTAGTATTTAATTTATTATTTTCTCTTTATACGTGACTTTACCGAAAGAACCAAAGAGTAATTCCTGCAGTTACGAAAGCTCCAAATTAAGTACGTGCTACCATTTTATAACTGATATTTAATTGTAACCAGCATTCTTCTAGAAAATCCACACTGTCAAATATTTCACAATATATTTTTCAGGTTAATCCACTCTACCTGAATTTCCCTGCCGTGCCATGTCAGTCATGGGTTTTGTTTGACCATACTTCACCATGCTGACCAGTACAGGTGTGTGTGGTGGTGGTGGAGAGTGGTACACGTTTAGATATCTCTCGTCACTTATGTTGCCATGGCTGAGAATCGAACCCGTGGATCAAAATACACGTACGGCCCTTTTATATTGTAGGATGGTCTCATATGAATTACAATGTGTTCATAATGACGATTCTATGTTGTGATTGTATTCGTGTTAAATTGTCACTGCCGGTAGGCATCTAATTTCCTCTTGCTTGCAGCACCCAATTTTGCTGAAGTCAAAATATGACTTGTCCCATTCCCTCATTCAACACGGGAGGCCCTGCCAGTAATAATAATCAGAGCACCGTGCGATTTGGATTTAATTGATGGACCTGCGTGTTAATGAGTCTGTCTGTTTGCTTTGCCCCCCCCCCCCCGCCTCCTTTAGCGTGACAGCCTGGAGCTGCCCCAGTATTTGCTGTCCCATCTGCCTGAAGAAAACTGGGCCAAGAATGGGAAGTGATAAGCACAGGAATTGGTTGGACTGAGCAGTCTGCAACTTTGTAAGCGAGCTGCGCTGTGCAGTCCGCCCTGTACGAGTCGTCATAAGGAAGGAGTGAAGATAAATGTTTCTCGGCCAGGGTACTGGATAATTTATCCTGATACTGTAAACGCATATGCATCACTTAAACAATAGCATAGGACTGCCATCTTGCAACCGACAGTTACAACTCAAAATAACCATGAACCTTTCGATTTAAAGCTTTCGTGACTGCAGAGATTCATCTTCTTGGTTCTTTCGGTAAAGTCATGTAGAAGGGAAGTAATAAAATAATAAAAATAAAACATAATAAAATAATTCTCACGACGTTTCGGCCACAACGCGCAAGCAGCCGTCCTCAGGTGAAGACCAGGTCTGTCGGGGAGACAGCGTCTGAATGAACACATCCTCTATGAATATACAAACAGCTCTCGGCAGTTTCTGAAGAAGCACATTGGCGGCCCTCTTGTCTTCAATCACCATCAAAATAGATTTGAGCAAATGTGACCGTGTGACAGGCAGCATTGATACAGATAGACATTCGTGGATCGAGCGGCTAAAGTATAATCATAATCAACGTTTTTGGGTTTAGATCGCGTTTATTTATAAATGTGTCATAACCCTCCACCACCCGACACGGCCAATCAGTAAAAATGTGTCACGTTGACAAAGACAAATAGTTCACTGCTTTAGCCCACCGGTGTGTTGAAGCCACAACATTTACAATTTGAGTACTTGAAGCCACAACATTTACAACACACCGGTGGGCTAAAGCAGTGAACTATTTGTCTTTGTCAACGTGACACATTTTTTTTACTGATTGGCCGTGTCGGGTGGTGGAGGGTTACGACACATTTATAAATAAACGCGATCTAAACCCAAAAACGTTGATTATGAATAACATTGGTCGCGAAAGCCTACGTGTTAAACTGGCTAAAGTACAAGTTGGCACAGTGGGAAGCACAGGTGATACATCTGCCATTCTTCCCAGTCGGTCAACCCTGAACACCGGAGTCTGTCCCGTGACCTGTCAGCAAGTCTTCGACACTTAAAATGGCCTCAAAGTGCTCCTACCCTGCAATGTCCATCGCCACTTAGTGGCGATTGATAGCTAGTTATTGCGCGGTGTGTCTACGTATGTATGTTGTACTTCTTTCGCACCGTACGTAGCCAACCGTGTATGTGTCTTTATCGTCTCTTGCTTACACGGAGATACAGAGACAGACATTTCTTTGAAATACCGTTGGCATTTAACTCCTGAAGTATAGAATAGACAAAACAACCGTGCGCTAAAAGCTGTAAGTCGGATGTTTTTTCGTCTCAAATGTCAAGGTACTATTAACATTTTTTGGAGGTGGCATTAGCCAGAATTGTTCGCCAGATTGTGATTTCAAAATTATTTGTTGATTTTTAAATGGTTCCTCTACCATTTAGTTTCTCGGATGAGCTCATGAAACACACAACATTTATCAGATTGAGTGAAGAACAAAGTATGTTTTTCCTTAATTATTTCAATTGCGCTATCAGTGTGATGCCATAATATTAAAACGTTTGTGTTTGGGAAGCCCAAAGGGAGAAAATACTTCAACCAAATCTTTTTTTCTCAAGATGTATCAGATTTGGTCCAGTTTAACTGTTAGATATCCATCTTGGTTTCTCTGTAGAATATTTGTAATTTCATTGGTGTAATCCAAACCTCTAAGATTGTTATCGTAGGCTTTTGTAGCCACTAAGTAATATATATATATATTTTTGGATTCGGCCACGTGGTAGTTTTATGCCAAAATTATTGGCAATAACCCTCCACAAACTGACAAGATTGTCACATTTACAAACACATGTCTGCATGCTAATGTATTCATCAAATTCTGACCAATAAAGTGAATTTGTGGCTTCAGACTTTTCACGACTTAATTGACCATAAACATGCACAGGAATCTCCTTACAGTTGGGACGTTTTAACATTAAACCTTGATGAAGTTGTGGCACATGGTAATTATATCATGCTAGACATAAGGGTCAGTCAACTGTATAAATCAATATATTGCTTTTTTTTACATTCGTTTGAAAATGTATATGTGAAGTGCTCGTAAACATTTTGTGAGCAGAGTATCATGCTTAATGTTGGCTTAGAATGTTTACAGAAATACAGTACAGGTTTGTCACGCTTAATACACATGCATACGTTCTGCGAACTTTGTTCGGTAAGCAGTTAAGCGATCCATCGTGTCTCCATTGACACTCGTGGTAAAAGCCGATGTTATTTTCAGCCCCAAAATCTTCCACTCCTGAACAACTTTTTTTGTAAACGTGAGAAATACACATGTTACAAAGCAACAAAACATCAAATTCAACACCACACATGAAGAACCACGGTGTTTTCAGGGGCCCTGTATTTATATGATTTGAAGGGTTAAGACGTTAGTGGGTAGAGGGAGCAGCAGAGGTCAAGCAAGGTCCGCTGGTTCAAATATCACTGGCCACGCACTTCTGTCTGAGTGGGCAGCTCTGGGCGGACCGCTCCGTACAGCTCCTTGGATATAAAAACAACCCTCAAAAAACAAGTGCACCACTCGCCATTTAAAAAAAAAAAAGCTTTATTTTTCTCCCCGACCTTGGAGGCTCGAAGGGTGAGCCTCAGACCACCCGTTTCATTTTCTTCCATCCGGAACCCCCAGAGGCGATTTGCAAAAACCCCTCCGACCCAGGGGTAGCGACTCGAGCTTGACCTCGTGGCTAGGCCAAGGAGAATTGTCCCCTCCGTATCTCCGGGCGTTAGAAGTGTGCCCCCGGGTATAAAGCCAAAGGCTTCATCTCCGCCGGCCACTCCGATCAAGTCGAGACCGGCTCCCCGAGTGGGGAGAACACGTGGGGTTCTCGCAGTGCCGGATTAAGCTAGTGCGGGGCCTGTAGCATATGTTATAAAGGGGACCTAAATAAAAAAAAAGACATTTTTAACCACATTTTTCACTTGCATAGTAAAGTTATTGTTTTTTTAATTTGCTATACAGCCAGATAATACGACAAATCGCTAACCTTAAACACCCAGTCGTTCATAAAAATTGAAGGCAGCATAGTACTATAGTAATAGAGCAAGTGCAGAATCACTGAACCGGAATTGATAGCTTGAAAGCATTTAGCGCGGGGCCCTTGAAAATGCGGAGCCCGTAGCTACTACATATGTAGTAAGCTACTACATATGTAGCTGCTACTTGTGCTACGAGGATAATCGGGCACTGGCTCCTCGACGGAAAAGTTGAATGAGGTTTGCGGGAAGACAAGAGGCAGCATCCTGACTAACGCTCGAAAAGCGGAACAATGCGACGAAGACCTACGATGCGAGCCTGTTGGAGCTCGGAAGAGGCGCACGACAAAACGTGAACGCCCTGGGACAGGAAAAGCCGAGTGATGGCGAGTGGCCTCCCGAAAGGTTCATATGCTTAGGTTTTTTCGGTAAAGTCACGTAGGTAAAAAAATTAAAATTAATATACAGCTGTCGTGCTGTGACTGTTCCACCTGAAGACGGAAGCTTGTGTTGCCTCCGAAACGTCGTGATTTTTATTTTATTTTACTTTTATTAATTTTAATTTTTTTACCTACGTGACTTTACCTAAAAAAACCTAAGAATATGAATCCTTGCAGTCACGAAAGCTTCAAATCTAGAATCCCGAAAGGTTGTTGGGGAGGGCAACGCTCCCCAGGTCGCGCCCTATCTGACATCTGCACGCATTTCTCCGATGCCCCGAAAATTCTGGACTCCCCACTCCCAGTGTGTCTCTCCCCCACCACCCCCCCGACGTCGATCGGGTCTCGGCTCGCCAAGCGATCATTTTTGCTCGTTTTGGGGAGAGAGAGAGAGAAAATGTCTTAAATTCAAGTTTCTCGTTATATCGCGAATTACGGTCGAAAGAGCGCTCGCTAAGCGAGACGAGGCTTTACGTCGTCGCATATCTTGAACATCTGCACAGAATGACATTATATTCTTCGTTTTTTTTCGGTAAAGTCACGTAGGTAAAACATTAATATTAATAAAAGTAAAATAAAATAAAAATCACGACGTTTTTTAAGGGATTATATCTTGAATCCTTGCCTCACTTGATGCAGCAAATCTGGCTGTGACGGTCCCACCTGATGACAGAGACTTGTGTTGCCTCCGAAACGTCGTGATTTTTATTTTATTTTACTTTTATTAATTTTTATGCTTTACCTACGTGACTTTACCGAAAAAACCGAAGAATATGAATCCTTGCAGTCACGAAAGCTTCAAATCTAGAAAGAATGACATTACACCATGCATTGGTCTGGGCCGACGTGTGCCGGTCAGATATGCGACATTATATGCCAGCTCACCTTTTTGGCTGTTCTATTGGCTATTGGCTATGTTTTTAAAATGTATACAAAAAAGATCGTGCGTCATTGGCATGCATTTCCAGGCTCTAAAATAGACTTTACTTGTTAGCAGTACACTCCATTGAAGCTTACGTATAAGTAAATTAATGTACAGGTTTTGTTTACATCGTTGACTTACTTATTGCTCATATCCCATTCAGCTGTGACCAGAATAATTTGATAGCTCACCGGTTATATTGCGGGGGGGGGGGGTGTTCCCCCTTCGCATAGCTGCACTAACTAATGTTTTATGCATTCCTTCCCATTTAAACATGCGGCTTGTGTGAGGGCGACTTCCCATACAGCAATTATTTTAAGTATGTTGGTAAAGTACTTGGTCAGATACATTAGAAAGTAGTTTGGGCATTGGTTTTAAATGCAATAGCTCTCCTACGATGACCAATAATCGTATCACCATTAATCGTAATCAATCTAGATTTGAAGCTTTCGTGACTGCAGGAATCCATACTCTTTGGTTCTTTCGGTAAAGTCACGTAGGTAGAAAAATAATCTCAAATTATTTTTTCTCATTTATTTTTCTAATCGTAATCATTCAGGCTTTTGTCAATCTTATTAATAATGTTATGGATGAACCCCCTTCCCTCATGCTGTCTCAGCCATGGGGGGGGGTTGCCGTTTGACCATGCTTCACCATGGTGGTCTGTACGGTTTGTTGAAGGTGGTGGGGGGGGGGGAATGTGGCGACCCATGACTGTTTCTGATGTGACTTCCCACTGATAGCCATGGTCAGGAGTTGAAGTCAGATTGCCTCGTCCGTGACCCCATGTGCTAACTGACCACTGTGCCACTCCACCACCCCACACTTGTCTTCATAAAAATAAGCAGTTAAATAGTGCAGGGGGAAAAAAATATCCACAAACAGTACCGCATAATCTATACGCCGCACTCAATTATAATAACAATGTGAGGTAGTAGCATGATGTGAAAACGTTCAGAATATATATTTTTTAAAGCGTGAATGTTTTAGGTGTGATTCATATATGTCGCCGCCGCTGCCTGTCTCTGACACTGAGGGAAAGAGAGCAACACAAAAAAAACGGAGCACTTTGTATGCAGGGCAGACACATTCCGTGTGCCTCCTTAATTCCCCCCCCCCCCCCCTCTCTCGCCAGCAGTGGCGAGGATAGCTGCAGCTCTACACCAGCACACATGCCACATTACCGAAGATTTACTGGTGTTCCTTTGTCGGTAT